AGTATCCATCTATCTCTGTCTATCAGATAACAGCGCTTAATAGAACAGTAATAGGTACAGCGCATTTGGTAAAAGTAAGTGAGCTAATTTAAACCGGAGCAGAAAAGTAAGAAGCAATGCTGGTAATGATACTGAAGTAACAAAATAATATTGCACATTTTAATGAGATATTACACATGAAATTGAAATATTTCACGTGACACTGAAACTAATGTTGCACAAGATTTGACTGAGAAAAATCCAAAAGTCATGTTTCTGAACTTTACTCATTGCACTGAAAGTCATATCTTTAAACAAAAGGTACAGTTTTACACCAGTAAAACACTATTTTTGGAGCGCTGTTTATCATTTTTCGCAGTTATGGTTGTATTCACTAAAGTAATTAGTGAGCAATCAATATGCATTGCTCAAGACAGGTCCAACTGTTCAGGAAACAGAAGGGTATCTCATGTTTCTTAAACAGCTGGATCTTTGTCTCGTTATAAATAGTGTTTCTATAAACGGCACAAATGATCAGCTTAGAGTTACAAAAAAACCCCCCAAAAAACATGAAGTATCTTTTCTCTGTTCTGCTCTATTTTGACTCCAGGAAGCTATGATGTGGGTCCTCAGGGTAAGCTGCGTCCATTCCTGAGTTATCGACACTGCAGAGTGGCTTTAGATCTCTGGAGACGTAAAACCTACCTCATCATGGGGATGGCCAAAGATATTTACAAAGATGAACAGAGTCGATCGTAAGTTTATCGTGTGTTAACTGATGCGTTTCCTCTTTTTGTAATATTGTCAGCAATTACACAATTTAACCGTTTCCATGTTTAACTCAGGTATCAGTACGTGCTCGGGGAGAGAACCTGGATCGAGTACTGGCCGACAGCAGCAGAGTGTAAAACGCCGATGTACAATACTACCTGCTCAGGCCTGGATGAGATGGTGCAGCAGTACACAGTGCATGGATGTCCACATTAGTAAAACTAAATTGAATAAAGTGTTTCATTTAGATGCCATTCTGCAGATTACAGTGTGAAAGTTCAGTACACAAGTTAATCTTATATAAAACTTACACACGTTTAGCGATTAAGGTTGTCAGAACTTCAAATCTCAGATCTGAATTATCAGTAAAAAAAAAAAAAAAACAGGCAAAAGGGAGTAACAGTGTCAAATCAAATAAACTGAACCAAATCTGAAATATTGTCTTTTTCTTCTTCTTCTTCTTTTTTTTAATTAAGTTCCTTCACAGTGATTTTTCTGTCATGCTGAAATCAGTTTACTATAATTTGTATTTTCTGGTCATAGTTAATGACAAAGATGATGACAGATTAAACTATAATTTGTGTAGAAATATATAATCTGTATAATATAACTATATACATACATATAACTTTACTAAAACATTTTAGGGATTATGCAATATTTATTGTTTTAGGGACCCAAATGAACTGTTTTTGAGGTTCTTAAAATTCCCATCAGCACTCATATTCTACACTGTTTTTCAGCTGAGGCTTTAGAATGATTCTGTAAATTGTTCCACAAGACAAATTTCAATATGTGTCCCGCTTTATCAGTACTCACTGTATGCACATACTAGTTGTATTATTGCGTTTCTCAATCGTTTGTGCCGTATTAGTTTCAGTATCATATGCAATATTTTATCTTCAAGCGCAAAATGTTCATTTCTTGTGTCAAATTTCATTTTAAAGTACAAAATGTCAATCTAATGTGCAATATTTTGTTTTCAAATGCAATGGTTCATATTCATGTGCAATTTTCACAAAAGGCTGTGACATTAATACCTCAGAATCATTGCCGGTACAACTTTTTACTTTTTCTATTTTAGTCTTATTTTAGCTTACTAACCTTTATATATTATTGATCTTTCTATTAGGCGCTTTTCTTATGTTACACAATATTGCTTTCGAATCAAAATCTGGTTTAAAAAAAAAAAGAGTTACACTTTATTATATGTTCGCGCAGTTCCACAATTGACCTGTGGGGGCAGCAACACGCCTCTGCCGCGTCCAGTCTGCCATAAATCTCATCAGAAGAAGTGAAAAGGGACGAGCTTCCTCTCGCCGAGCCGCCGCCGGGACATGTTGGTGTTGTTGGAGAATAAAAGAGTCAAACTTTAACCTGCATCCTCGGAGACAGGCAGCTTTCGGAGCGTGTGAACCAGTCCGGGAACACGACGGTAGAACCGGGCGGAGCGACTCGTTAAACTCAGTTCACTGAAGAAATTGGTTTTCCAGCTTGCCTCTGAACACACTGCCATGGCCAAGGTTCAAGTGTTAAATGTCGCCGTTCTGGACAACCCGAGCCCATTTGGAAATCCGTTTCAGTTTGAAATAACGTTTGAATGCATGGAGGACTTGCCAGAAGGTGGGTATTGTATTCAGCTAGCGTGTACTGGCAGTTAAACTACTCTTTGTTGTGTGCTAGCTTGTGAACAGCTGCTGCATCTGCTTAATTGTCCGCTTCACTGCAGGTAAATGTGGCGCAGCCAAAGTAACTGACCGGCACGTTATTTTGTTCGCTAAAATTCTGATATTAGCTGTCGTTCGGCCTGTTTGGTGATATATCATTTGGCAAGTTGTTGAAAATTGGCGCTGGCGCGTTTGTGCTGTAAGCCCCGCCTCCCGCCTGCAGTGATTGGCTAGTAGAGGTTCTATGTAGCTTTTTACGAGAAGCTGATTGGCTGATTACGCTGTGTTACTGTAGCAACAAACAAGCACTAAGAGTTGCCGCGAACGGCGGGGAGAAACCACAGGGAAGCGCTAGCATGTGTTCAGTGAAAATATTGAGTGCCATCCACTTAAATAAATACAGAGTGAAGTAATGAAAGCATAAAACATGCTTGTTCTCCGACATATTTATTTGTTTTCGTAGTTTAAGACATCAGTTTAAACCGCAGTGTCTGGTATGAATCCTGGCAACATGGCCTTGTAAGTTTTAAGAATAAAACTGCTCGTTGTTATTTTATTGTTAATGCTTGCCTCCTGAAGAACTAGTATATTTATTTTATTGTTTATTATTAGTTATTATGTGCTTTTATCTGTTTGTTTGTTTGTTTGTTTTTACTTTGCTGACAGTCAAATTATTCTCAGGCAGTTAAAAATGAGTTTCATGTTCTCGTATTTCCTACATTTCCGCTGGCAAAATTTTGAAAGTACATTTGTTCTTGCTTTTGACTGGAAAACATGAGGTGTATAACCATTCAGGTAGTTTAAAATATGTGTTTGTTTCTGCTCAATTATCTCTGATTTGCCCGGATTATTTTGAAGATATTTGTGACATTTTTGTGCATTGAAATTTGAGGCTGTTAGAATGACAGCATCTAAGGAACTATTTTCAAAATGGTTCCTTAAATATAACTAAGACAGTTTGTTTTTTTCACTCTCTCTATGGACATTCTTTCATCATAAGACTCATTTTGATTTTGAATGCTTCTGTAAATTGCAGAGGTGTGAGAACAGCAATCATGCACTGGAAATATACCAGAGATGATGATCTGTTGTAGACAATTAAAATTAATCTGAGTGGTGTGGTTGAAAATGTCCATTTGATGTTTTTCAAATATGTATTTTTTAAAAAAAAACAAAAAACACACTGTGATTGCTTTGATACCTCCAGGCACAGTGTCTATGTGTATAACTGACATCAATCACACATCTGAACTACACATTTTAAGAAAAGTCTTCCCGTGTGTGCTGTCAGATCTGGAATGGAAGATCATCTATGTGGGTTCAGCTGAGAGCGAGGAATACGACCAAGTTCTGGACTCTGTTTTGGTTGGCCCGGTACCAGCTGGCAGGCACATGTTTGTGTTCCAGGTGAGTTCTCTTGGTAAGCTTTTTATATTACAGCTGGAATACAGAATGGAATCCAGACAGATGATCAGTAGCGTCCCAGTTGAACAGAGGCCGGGGACTGATCGACCCCAGATGTGCCGCCCTGATGATCAAGTGTTATGATCTGAAAGCTGAAACACCCCATGACCCTGAGTTCATCACTGATGATGTGTTCAAGTCGCACCATCTGGTGTTTCAAGAATAAAAGCACTTTGGATGCTGAAAATAATATAAATGCACATGATTTATTTTAAATCCCTGTATTGTTGTATCATTATACTTGCATTAATGGCATGATTGCTGTGGTTTGATCTGATTCCTTCATCTCGCGTGTTCATCTACGTCATTAGGCTGACGCTCCTAACACGGGGCTGATTCCAGAGAGCGACGCTGTAGGAGTGACTGTCGTCCTCATAACCTGCACCTACCGTGGACAGGAGTTCATCCGCATCGGTTACTACGTCAACAATGAGTACACAGACCCTGAATTGCGGGAAAACCCACCTCTCAAACCAGACTACACTCAGGTAACGCACACAAGTACTCAGGTGACAGAAACTGGTTTAATGGACAGAAGCGTTAACTTCTGTCTGTTTATTGGACGGAGTCACAAAAGTGATCACGATGCCTCATCTTATTGTCTTTTCAAAAGATGTCGGCTGAAACATAAAGTGCAGCTATATTTAAAGAAAAAAAACAAAAACCCATCTATTGAAATATGCAGTTTTCTGCTGCCCTCTGGTGCTCTGAAATTTACACTTAAAGCAGCAGCATCAAGAAGGAAGTATAAATGGAATCATTAGGAGTTTATATAGCTTATTGTTTTTGTCTTTAGTCTTCATGTTATCATTTTATAAACAACATAAGTGCATTTTATCATTTTAACATATGTAGCAAGATTTTATTGAAATGTGTATTAATCCAAGATGAAGTTTTAAAGTTAGTATATACTGCCTTTTAGTTATACTAGAAATTCAACATAAAGTCAACTTAAGTGTATTTTCACTAAAAAGCTGGCACACAACACTGGTGTTTTTAGTTTGTTTCCTAACTTAAATGAGTTTATGCCACTGTGCTGGTGAGATAGAGCTGAATGTTGTTTGCAGGTAAAGCTGCATGAGAGCTGAAATTGCTGGATGCTAACAAAAATAGTTTTCTTTATTTTTTTGAAATACTGTTCTAATTCTACTGTCCAGATCAGGGGTAGATAAACATTTAGCTTTTAATACATACTTTAAAAAAACTCAGCTTTGTGTTTCAGAGTTTATGAAAAGCTGATGCAGAATGCTGTGGAACAGAAGTTAACCAAAAAAAATGGTCTTGAATGTGCTTTCTGTTTGATTTATATTTTAGGCGTACTTAGAAAAAGTACTTGTTTGTATGCACGTGACCAGGATCCATCTTTAACCTCTGTATGTTGGTTTGCTTATTTATTTATCGCCACATTTAAATGGAAAGTATTTGTAGTAATATAGTGTTATGTTTTTGTGTGATGACAATACCAAGTTGCAGCTTTCGTGAGTTAATGTTGTTCCACTAAATGAAAGTGTTTGGGTGTAGTCTATGCCAACAAGCATTAAAAAAAAAAGAGAGAGAGAGACCTGAGGAACATTTTTAGAAACTCCCATTATTTAATGAAAAAAAAAAAAAGTGATAAGGGATTTCATTTTATCGAGACAAAAACATTGGCTTTAAATGATCACCTTTGTTTTCAATCCGGATTAAAGCATAATGCACTTGGTTCCATTGAAAGGTGGTGAGCAGTAAACTGAATTTGTTTATACAGTAGGTTTTTTTTGTGTACTCTTGTGTATATTAGTACAAATGCAATTTTGAGAGTTTACACTATGGTAAAAGTATTTAACAAGCTGCTTACCTATATGAGTTGGTGTTTTTACCAATTACAACAAATGGTGGATAAATGGGGGTTTAGTAAACGTAGTGTCAGTATTTCAAAGTCTTCACTTTTGTTACTGCCCCTTACATCCAGAGGGCAGAATACACTTCCATAAATACTTCACAGTTCATGAATGTCCACAAGGGGGAAAATGAGCCTGTGTGTCACACTTGGAGAAGCAACATAATGTAGATATTTTGCTTTATCCTAAGTGTTTTGAGACTGTGATTTTCTTTCTTGTGAAGAGATAAGACTGAGGACTACCTGGCTGATCTGACATATGTACCTCTGATTAACCCTACCATCTCTGTGCCTGCACACAGCCATTTCCCTCAGCCTTTTTGTTAGAGAAAAGTACTGCTTCTCATGCTGTTAATGAGTGAGCCCAGTACAAGGCTATGTTCTATAGCAGCATGCAATAGCGGAATACTCCACTGATAGAATTACTTTGATTGGAAGGGTCCCTGTTGTCTTATTTTGAGACATAAAATTCAACAAGTCGACGTTAGACATTCAACCAAACCAAATGTACAATCTGAATAGTGTTTATTGGTTCCCCTGTTTACTATTTACACATAGCAGTGGACCCTAATTCTACTAATTCACTGGTTTTACTTCAATCATTGTAGCTCCAGAGGAATATTTTGGCCTCTAACCCCCGTGTCACTCGATTCCATATCAACTGGGAGGGCTCAGCGGACAAGATGGAAGACAGCGAGAACGTCGACCCGTCCCCCAACATCAGCGGCATGCTCCCTCCGTCCTGTATACCGGGAAAGATGCCGCCTCTTGGACTGATGCCGGACAACTCCATGGACTGCATGTAAGAGTCACCAGATTAATATAAAGGACCAGAAGCTCTTCTTATCTCTATTCACCTATATAGCAAACACACATTTGGACAAGGAAGAAGTGGATGTATATAAAACATGAGGACATTAACAGGAAGCACGGACATGGCAGCGGGGACTTTATTTTTCTACAGCCAACAAAAATGGGACGGGTCTGGAATTGCTACCAACTTTCACTTTTTTTTTTTTTTTTAAACACACTCATAGATCTGCACAGCCAGAATTGCCTTAATTTATCATATCTCAGTTTTAGATAATGTTCAAGCTGGGCTAGTGAAAAATTTGAGTCATCAGGGTGGGGACAGGATCATCGTATCCCTCAGCTCTCAGACTTACAAGTCATACTCATGCACTGATTTTTGGGTAACCATGCTGTGCTGGTCATTTTGTCCTCTTCAGCTCAGATCAAAGCCTCAGGCAGTGCTCTGTATGTCAGAATACATGTGGCAGTAGCTTCTTGTTGTAAAGCACTTCATTGTTCTCGTTGTTTGTCTCATGTGATGCTTACCTGTGGATGCAGATCTTGAGTTGAAAATATGGGCCATGTTCAGGAGCCTGTGGCTAAGAATTAGCTTTATTCACTGTTAGCTCAAAGCTTATTCAGAGTACAACCATGTAGTCACAAGTTTAGCCCCATGGCTATCCATGTTACTATGAACATGCTTCTTTGACCATTCTCCAATTCACAAACTCTGATATGTTCCATAAAATGCCTGTCTGTGAGTATGCACAACACATGTAGGTAAAGGAGAAATGAATGCCATGTTGCACTCATGTTGTGTGGATCATTTACTGTAAATAATGTTTTCCCAGCGCTTATTTTGTCCTCAAAACGAGAGGGCAACTTTTCATTTTGTACTTACTATATATTCTCTGCCTCAGTATTTGTAACGACAGTGATTGGATTAATAAAGTTTGTTTTGCTGACATTGTGCTGCCTTTTGGTAATCACTGTATTTTACTTATGGCTGCTTTTCACCCTGACTGGTGAGGAAGCAGCAGCAGCAGCAGGGAGACTCAGCACGTGTGTGTGTGTGCGCATCGGCCCACTCTTCGCCCTCCCTTCTCTGGCTCCTTTCTTTTTTCCAATTTCATTCATAAAATGCAGCAGCATCACTCCACCATTTTTACTCTAGCCTCACGTTGCTAGGCAACTGCAGCGCAAAGGGGAGGAGGAGGGGGGGGAGCTTGTCTGCTCTCACCCATTTTATCTTAGTTGAAGGGACTAACTCCCCCATCCATCCATCTGTTACCTCTGTCTGCTTCTCACATGTCTGCGCTGTGCCGGAGTCTGTTGCGTACATCTTCATATTTGGCACTAAAATCCATATGCAGCATCGTCCATCCACGAGTAGCAGCATGTAGCAGTGCTCAAATCATTAGTCTATCAGTTGTCACAACTGATGATTGGAGTCTGTTAAAATGCCAAGCGTTTCTTTGCTTTTCAAATCTTGTCTGTTTTGCATCACTGTGATAGAAAACAAGCCATCACGCTGTGTTTACATAATGGGCATTTTTGTTTACAATTTTCTGCATGTATTTAATGGCATAAGATTAATTGTGACAATTGCTGATAACTACAACAAGCTGGTTGCAGCCCAAGATCACTTTTAAAAACCAGATGTTCCAGAAAAATAAGACTGGCATCCCACTACATACGTCTGGCAACAACTGCAAAGCTTGAATAATAATTGTTAGAATTGACTGAGATGTCACATAAACAAACAGCAGGAGTAATTTGGTTGTTTGGGCCCCTTTTGGTGGCTGCAGAGCCTTAATATGATGCTGTTAGACTCTGCAGAAGCTGAGGGAGCTCCTATTTATAGAATGTGTGTTGGTTCATACCGTAGGTGATTTTTATTTTTTTTTTATGTGTTTTTTACCAGCTCAAATTATTATTAAAATGAGATATTCCGATGCAAATCTATGTGAAAATGTGGCTTTTGAGTATGCGGATGATAATAAAGGGCCCTTGGTCATCCGCTAGGCTCACCCCATAGGTGATCCAGGTGCTGGGGCGAGGATGCAGAGAAGCAGCTGCAGGGTTGTGACTGACGGACGGACACAGTCTGTTTTCATCCTGCACCGATTGTTTAAAAAAAATAAAAAATCTTGTATGTTCCTGAGATTAATTTCCTACTAAATATTCTTCCAAAGCACGACAGTCTGCGAAATGTTTAGAAGTCCTGCCAGCCAGACCGCGCCGCGCGTGCGTTAAATTCTGACCAACATTTCTAAAAATAGCTCGCGGTTGACGTCACTTAGCCAAACGTGTATCAGTCGCTTGGCGGCGGCGGGAGGGGGGGGGCTTTTTTTTTTTGCTACTGTAGGGGGGGGCAATTTTCTGTCAATCCCTGCTGACAGCCAATGGACGTCCTCGCCTTCACCGAGATTCCCACGGTTCACTCGCATCAAGCCAATGGAGGACGGAGACCGGAGAAAGTGGGCGCGTACGTCGTCGGGAGGAAAATAATCGGTGACGCTCGTTTTGTGCAGGGCGGTAGGACGCTGCCGCCGTTGATGGAACGCGACGAGCCAATCAAAGCGCTCCGTGGGACACCGCCGTTGAGGGGTAGCCAATCAGCAGGCGAGCCTCATCTTGTCAATCAACCCGGGCTCTGGCGAGTGGGCGGGACGGTCACTCGGCTGTAGTTCCGTCATCTCGCTCGTCTCCGAGGCTACGGGGGGCCAATGTTGATTTGGGTGAATTCCCGTCGTTGTCGGACCCCGCCGAGGTTGAATTTTTAACAGCTGGGTTCGGTAACGAAACGTGGAAGGCTTCCGACTGAGAATATTGCATCCCCGCCTGTGGTATCGTTGTTTTTTTGTTTTTTTTTTTTTGGGCTGGGGAGAGGTGGGGAGCCGGGGTGGGGGGGCTCGTTCGGCGGGGGCTGCAAGGAGGGACAGGCGAAGACTGGATCCTCCGTGTTCAGGCCAACTGCGCCGAGCTCGGCCTGTCGGTCCGGTGAAGCCCCAGTGACCGAGATACCTCAGCGGTAGCTCCCCGTGGATTTAACCTCAATATCGGTCGCAGGTTGCTGGTGACCGCGGAGTGAGTTCGCCCCGCTCCACTATCCCGTCTCTCGCCGTGGCACCGCATCAGCAGCATCAGCAGCAGCAGCTGTCGGGCTATTAAAGACCAAGACCTCGGAGTTAACGCTCGGTGCTGCTGGATTTAGGAAATACCGTCCAGACCTAATCGAGATTAGACCGGCTTGAGAAGGCTGCGGGGCGGCCAGAAAGCCACGGATCGACCGTTGACAGGTTGTCATCATGGGCAACGCGCCCACGGCCAGGAAGGGCAGCGAGATGGAAAGCGGTGGGTACCGTCGCCTGAACACATCCCTCCCGATCGGTACCTGCTCTGCTACAGCCTCATGTAATGACCTAAAACGATGTGGCACAGCAGGTTCTGCTAGCTTCACACAACACACCGTACAGCGGCCTGTTCCTTCTAATTTAAGTCAAGTCCTTGATGTAAAACGATTTAGCTTGTGCCATGCGAGCACCCAAGAACCCAAATCACGCAGCTACATTTCACTTCAGGAGCACAACATAGATAAAAATGTAAGGATCTCTAAAAATGAGGCTCAGTAGTAGTGTTCACTATGTTACAGGACGTTTTCTAGCCCATCCAGGGCATGCAAAGGTAGGTTGAGGCAGGATGTAGTGCTGGTTTCCAGATCCAAATCACTTTACGAGCTACAAAATAGCCAACAGCGATTGTAAGCTGCAAGGATCTTGGCATCTTCACATCCTCTTGTACTCAAATCTTGGCGAGATCACAACAAGCTATGTGTCAGATATTTTCCCAAACACTGTGTGCCTGTTGCTCTTTGGAAAGAGATGCTGTTGAAACTGTGTGTGCAAACGTGGGAACTATTTTGGTTGGTGGACCCATGAAGGTCTGCAGGTTTGGCTGAGCTGCTCTGATTGTGTCTGCTGGTCTGTAGGTCCAGTGGAGGTAATGTAGAAGGATGCAAGTATGCTGATGTCTGAGGCTTCTGGTGTATTTTTTGGAGCGGGGATTTATTAGGGCTTTTGTTTTTACCATGAGATCTATTATATACAGATTTAGTCATTTGTAACATAAGTGAGGCATATGAATGGCCATGCATAGGGCTGGATATTGTACACATATTATCAGAGTGTGTATACTCCATTGCAGTTTTACTGTGCCTTTCAATAACCAAAATAACAAAGAGGCGAAAAATGGCTCATAAAGTCTGTTTACTGTAAACACATCACAGTCAGTGAGCAGCTCTGTTTGTGTGGATGAGGGTCCGATGCCTTGATCAAGAGCAAATAGTTGCTGAGAGGGGGCTCTTAATAGTCCCCTCATCAGACATCACAATGTGCCTTTGACCTGTCCAAGGAAAATGAACTAAGTTTAAATGAATATTGGTATTTGTTCATTGAATTTTAAGTTTGCTTCAATTGTTTTCCTTTCCTGTCCCCTTTAGGATTATTTTGTGAGCAGTCTGTAACATATCAGCACATTTTGCAATCTTTAAACTTATTCATTTGCCTTTAGAAGAAACAATGTGCTGCCCTTCATTCTTACTTTAGTATGAAAAACAACCAAAATTAACCTAAACTTTAACCGGATGAGCAGGGTTTTCCTTACAAACTGTGTGACGTTACCTGAATGTCTGTGTGGTTTTCTTTGGGGCCTTTTGTGTTTGTCATAAGTAGTTTGATTTTTAATATGGATTTGACACAGTTTTAAACTGGCATTGTTCTTGCAGACTGAGGTGTGCATATTTTAGCTAATTGTGCATGAAACAAACTTTGTGCCATTCTCCACTTTAGTACCTAACAAAGTCTAGAAATGACAGCAAAGGGGAAGGCATGCACTGGAATAAAATATTCTAGAAAAAATAGTGCAAATATAAGCCACATTTAAACAGCATTCAATGGACTCTGATTAACTCAGCTTTATGCAGTTGATACAGGAAGTATCGTAGTGTTTATTTTGTGGTTTCTTTCACTTTCTGTGCACACACACATCACTCAAAGCCTTTTCTTCTGTAAACACTGGTGGTTTTTCTCTTCCACAGTCAAGGAGTTCCTTGCTAAAGCCAAAGAGGACTTCCTCAAAAAGTGGGAGAATCCTGCACAGGTCAGTGTGTGTTCATCTCACACCACAGGAATAGAATACACAAAACATGTCCTTTTTATTGTAATCAGCCTTTATTTTGTGCATATTTTAGAATGCATTTACTGTTTATGCCAAGTTTTTTCTGTTCTTTGAGCTCCAACTATATATAAAAAAAAAACAGCTATTTCTTTCTAACATATTTGATGATGAAATAAAATAAATAGCTCAAACTGCACTGCTTTGGTGTTTAATGGCTTCAAGTGAAACATTAGAGTGATGATATAGTTGTATTATATAATTGTTCCTTGTGTCCAAGTTGTTGATTTCAAGTTAACTGTAACAAAAACCCCACAAAATGAGTTAATGAACATTTGGTTTCATGTGAAGATTTTATTTGTAAATTTGAATGTACCTTTGCATATCATGTACAATATGAATAATGTATAGACATTTTAGATTTTAGAACGCTTAATACTAGAATAAGCTTTACATAGATGAAGATATGGAATGATCTCTATCAGTATTCTTTCATTTATGCGGTGTATCATTTTCTCTGCATCATGTACCATTATACAAATATATATATATATAGACACATTAGTTCGTTGTAAATATTTTAAGCACTTTTTGTTTATGACTGGCCAAAGTGTGTGCATTATGCAGCAACCACTGTTCTGAGTCTGTTTTAGTAAGAGACAGCTTCTCTTCCACGGTGCACTAATGAAGTTTATTATGATAGTGATAAAGATAGTCCCATCACAAAGGTTTGATTGTATTCACTGCAAACATGACTTAAAGTTATGTTTTGATCAGTGGGGGGAAAAAAGACATTTAATGCAGACAGAGGTTGTTGTGGGGGAAAAAAAAAACACATGTGGCATGTGACAGTCTGGCTACATTTTTTTAAAAACATAAATGTTGTGTAAATGTCAGTCAGGATAGAAGGCCATAAGTTTACATGATGTGGTATTTTTAATATGATTGGAATTTATCATAATATTCTGTATGCTGCATGTAAAGTTTATCCAGTTCACACATGTTATATTCTGTAAACAACTTATCCTGTTTTTCTACACATTGCACAGAAGACACATGCATTATGACATGGACATGCCCTCATGTACAAGAACATAAATAGTACAGCATGTGTTGTAATTGTGAGCATAGTGTGTGTTTAAAAAAAAAAATCCCTTCTGAAAACACAAGCCTCACCGTCCCATTTTCACAAAAATCAGCTTACCATTTTTGTTTTGTCTGTTCAGAACACTGCTTGCCTGGAGCAGTTTGAGAGGTTGAAAACCCTGGGCACGGGCTCATTTGGCCGTGTTATGCTGGTGAAGCACAGAGAAACGGGACAGCATTATGCCATGAAGATCCTCAACAAGCAGAAGGTCAGTCTGGGTCAGCAGGTCACAGGCGGATGGAGGGAGTTTAAAAGTGTCTGTCGTCTAAAGACGCTCATGGTTAATGTTCCAACAGGACGGCCGTAGAAAAACATGGAAATGCGGCTGATGTGAAAACTTGAGTCTGTTGTAGATGTTGTAAAAGGACCTCGAGCTCCTTTGCAGACTCGAATACAGGTGCAAGCTTTGTCTGAATCCACTTGTGCTGCAGCAGACATCAGCTGGAGTGGCAGAGCTGAGGTTGTCTTTGTGCACATTCCACCAAGTAGACTAATTTTGGAGTAAAACTGTGCTTACATTTTCTCTTTTGACACTTTTAGCATTTATTCATATTTTTATGGAACCAACACTCAAATGAGAATGTCTGCTTCTTTTAGCTATTTTTCAGATTCAAGGAAATGAATATCTATCGTACTGTTCTCACTAGATTGATGCAACAAATCCTGTTTTTAAAAATTACCATAAAGCTGCTCTGCTTGCAGAATTGCAACACGTGCTGCAGACCTGCAAGTTAACTTAAAGAATCACTAAAATCTAAACTGTTGCCTGTCCATACATGCTGGTGAGCTACCTCATCTAATGCACGCTGGGATTGGCTGCAGCCCCCACAACCCTGAAAACAGGTATAGAAATGGTTACACTGATGAATCATCTGATGGATATCTGTTGTTTGTGTGTAGATCCTTGCAGGTGTTGGCAATGAATTTAATGCTGTATATTACATTAGAAGAACAATTTGGAGGTGTATACTGAAGCTGCTGTAACATGAAAGGGGGAACAGTCTACTGTTTTAGAGCATCTCACAGTAATATCAATATTATCAGATATAAAAACGTTATAATTTAATTCTAAGACCTATAAATTCAATTTTATACACGTCTTTATGGAGTTCAATATATCATTGTATTCGATTGTGCAAAAACAGCTCAAAGAATGAACCAAGATTCACACTTTTTAGAACTGATTTGAACAGAGGTGTGATGTTTACTACTCTCAACATTTTTTTTTATGTGAGGGCCTTTGTCTTTCTAAGCAGCCTTCTTTTGTTGAGACCAAAACTATGAGATACACCTTGAAGGTGAAC